CTTACTCTATACCTTAAAAGTGTAAATTCGAAAAGCCAAAGAATAAATAATACCCAGAGGTGGAGTAACCAGTATTCAAATATCTGCCTAATCTGCAAAGTGACAACATGAAGTAGGCTGGGATTCGGTCAGTTTGGGTTTGAACCGAGACTGATTAGGTGGTTAACCAATATATCGGTTAGGCAATATGCAGCACCAAATAGCAAACCAAAAAAATATTGGTTTTACTGTTTCGGGTATTTTTCAGTTTCGGCTTTTTCAAACAGTTTCGATATTATCCGAAACATTGAGTTTCCCCCATTCTTCGGTACCTACTTTTTTGCTTTTGAATCGTCAACAGATGCTTCAATTTTGTTTCTGAGTTTTAATGGCATACCAAGAAAAAGAAAAGCTCGGAGTTGAAACAGACCAATGACAAAAATAAAAGAAATTGAAAAGAAAAGTAAAAAATTAGATCCAATTTCAATACCCAACACCAATACTATTGTCATCCCCTTGGAATAGGACTTGGGAGCAGTAAATCACAGGAAATAAAAAAACAAAAAAGTGTGGAAGAGAAAGGAGATTAGATGTAGTGTCAGCAAGAAGAAAGTAGAAGCAACAAAGAAGGTGAAATGAGATGGGACGAGAGAAAAGAGAGGGGAAATAAAAAAAACCCCTAAATTATTAAATAGATCCAAAGGCTTATATTCAATCGAATTAATCTAATCTAATGGTTAAAATAAAACAAACAAAAATAATAATTACATAAAATAATAAGTTTAAGTTTAATGCAAGGGACCCATAATATTTGAAATTAGATTTAGTCAAAAAGTAAAACTCAAGAAATTCCAAATCCCAATTGACGCGATTTTTGGCGCAAAATGACAAAAAAAAGTGAAATAATATAAGGATTTATTTAATTTATAACTACAAGTTACGAAAATAACTTATAATTACAATCAAAAAATTTTTATCTGAAAGAACTTAATTTTTGATAGCTTAAATGTCTGTTCTCCCTAAGAAGTTGGCATAAAGGTGAGAATATTGGTAGCTAAGGATGCTTGCAGGGGCTTTCTTTTTATGTTTCTATGTTTGTAGCCCTATTTATGCCCATGTAACAATTGTCAACATAATCTCTAAGTGCAAATGGTTTTACATATTTAATTGTCTATAATTTTCATGGATATAGTTTAAATTTACATTTTGTGTTGTAAGATATACTT